GTAATGCCATAATGACCAAAGACCGGTCACCAGGAGGTGCATTGATGGGTCCTGCGGCACCAGGACTTGACGGTGGGTCCCTCGGCGCACTGGGTCTGGGTCTTGCGTGATTTCGTGAGCTGGGCCTCTAGTGTGTATATATGTGTATATGTGTGTGTATATATGGTAGAAAAGAAATATGCATTAAGATAAGGCAAAGCAGAAAAGCACAGAGCTTATAGAGGTGGGGAGTTAAAGAATTAATTAGGATAGGATAGTGGAAAGTAGTCATCAGATATAAAGAAAACATCACCCGTGTTTTTTGGGGGGCTGTTAACATAGCTGGTTACTGTAGAGTCATAATGAGAATGTTATGAGTCTGCTAATTATTAAAATACATAAATGATTTTGTAGAAGCCTCTTTGCTTTAATATTCTTGAGTTTAAACTGGAAAACGGTATTCATGCTTGCTTCAGGGGTAGTTAAAATAATTAAATGAGGTAATGAATCGGTAGGTCCTTTGAAATGATTAAGTGTCCTGGACATATTTTTATTATATTTTCCTGTTTCTGTAGTCCTTTGTAATATTAGTAGTATTTCTCTATTACTGGGTTTTTTATGTTGCGTGCATTGGATTTAGAATTGTATTTCCTTCTTGAGGGTGAGGAGCTGTAACATGGTCAGAAGGTGCCTCTTGAGTGTTGGCTGAGTAACTATATGGTTAGAGGCAGATTCTTTGGTTATCATGAGGAAAAGAGAATATTTTTACCTCATAAAGGCTGCCAATTTTAGAGTGGAAAATTAGAAAGGACCTTCAATAGAAGACTGAAATATGTGAAGTCTGATAGAGATTGAATAATTTGGGTTTGCTACATTAGAGAATCTACTTAAAGAAAAAGCATATACATGCTTATGACTATATTCCTGTTTAATACCTATTATAACAAAGCTGGTTAAATGTTTATTAATGTAGGCATATTACCAGAATGTTATTTTAAGTAAATGGATTAAGTGAATTTGAAAGATATTTGGCCTACTTTTAATTAATTTGAACCTACTTTTCTGTGAATTTTTAATAGAGATATTCTCATTTTAGTTAACAATTAGTACACAGCCCTATAATATCTGAGGTCAGAATATATGAAATTCTTTTAGGTGATTTATTTATTTATAATGTTTTATTAATTTTTAGAGAGGAAGGGAGAGGGATAGAGAGATAGAAACATTGATGAGTGAGAAATATCTTCAGTCAGCTGCTTCCTGCATGCCCCCTACTGGGGATTAAGCCCACAACCCAGGCATGTGCCCTGACTGGGAATCAAACCAGTGACCTCTTGGTTCATGGGTCAACACTCAACCACTGATCCACATCAGCCAGGGTAGGTGATTATTTTAAAATGAATTTTAGAATAACCATAGCAATTACTTTTATAATATTTATATTTCAGGCCTTTTATTAATATGGATTATCTTATTTAATTTTTAAATCAACCCTCAGAGGTAGGAATAGAGGTAGTTCCCCATTTTAAAAAAGTTATGAGGTACCATCTCAAACCTGTCAGAATGGTTATCATCAATAAATCAACAAGTGACAAATGCAGGCGAAGATGTGGAGAAAAAGGAACCCTTGTGCACTGCTTGCTGGTGGGAATGTAGACTGGTGCAGCCACTGTGCAAAACTGTATTGAGTTTCCTCAAAAAATTCAAAATGAAACTCCCATTCGATCCAGTAATCCCACTTCTAGAAATATATCCCAAGAAATCAGAAAGGATATATGCACCCCTATGTTCATAGCAGCACAATTTACAAT